ACTATTGGCTTGGAAGGAGAGTAAGTTGTTATCATACAGCTCCTTGGTAAAGGTAAAGACAATTTAGGAGCTCAGCCATTCTTGCAAAAACATTTGAAGTACATTCTTCAAAACATAACTGGTCATTTATGTCACCAAAATTTGAAATGAAAACCTTCTGAAGGAAAGGAAAATAGAGCTTAAACTGCAACATCTGAAAACATTTCTATTGCTGCTGTAAGCAATTAAGTGTTATTTTCTCAATGTAAGCATCTAATAGAGAGCTTCAGAATACAGAAAAAATAAAGGTAACTTTCTAAAGGGTATGCTACTGAAGGGCTGAGGCAATGTTGATTTACTTCCATAGTATCACGTCCTAATATTTAGGTTCCAAATGCAGGCTACATGCTAAAGGGGAGTTCAATAATTCTGGATACCTTTACACCTTTCTGTGTAGCTGGCAGGTTGCCAAGGTAATGCTCTATAAAGTATTCAATATATAAATAGTAAAGATTTATATCACTTTTTCTAAAAGTTGATTCCCCATCCATTCCTGATGCTCACTTATACTGTTGATAGCTACGCTCAAACTCTCCCAGTCTCTCCAAAAACTCCATCAAACTAAGTTCCCTGATGCAGTCTACAACACTCAGGTTTCAATGCTCCACACTTTACTGGAACTAGCTAGAAAGCATTTGCTAACCACAGAGGAGCCCTTTAGGATAGTCCCAGGTGTGCCCAATTACTTAGTTGTTCTTGCAAGCTGATGAAACCATTAATTTTAGCTAGGCTTCTCAGAAGGCCATCATGTTATTGCACATAGCCCCATCACCAGGCCCCTGAGAAAACAAACAACCTGACAGATGTTAAGAGCTCATTCATTATTCAAAGAATTGTATTTCTGCCAATAATAGATATTTTGGCATCAGACTGCAAGTTTATCTTTTGGATTGCTCTCTCTGAGTCGATAGCATTTCTTAAAGCAAGGCCTGTTCTTAAACAATCAAACTGCAGGGGGTTGTAAAAGGGGACCAGCTTGGCTAGAGACTATTTGTCTTTTCTATCCAAACAGGGCCTAAACCAGAACAAAATATAAAATTGCATTGTTTTTTAAGCCTGTTTAAATAAATAATGAAAAGAATATGTCAGTGCAGTATTAGATTTTTTAAAGTAACACCACTAAAATCAATGTATTGAAACACTAAGATGACTTTGAGAATTCGGGATTGTTCAGCCTGGAGAGGAGAAGGTTTCAGAGTGACCTAATTGTGGCCTTTCAGTAACTGATGGGAGCCTACAAGAAAAATGGAGAGAGACTTTTTACAAGAGCATGTAACGACAGGACAAGGGGGAATGGCTTCAAGCTGAAAGAGAGTAGGTTTAGATCAGATATTAGTAAGAAATTCTTTACTGTGAGGGTGTTGAGGCACTGGAACAGGTTGCCCAGAGAAGTTGCAGATGGTCCAGATGCTCCATCCCTGGAAGTGTCCAAGACCAGACTGGACAGGGATTTGAGCAACCTGGCCTAGAGAAAGGTGTCCCTGACCACAGCAGGGTGGCTGGAACGACAAGAGCTTTACAGTCCCTTTCAATCCAAGCCATTTTACGATTCTGTGAAGTATTTTGCCCAGTGCATTGACAATATCTGTTTCTGGGAACTTGGAATAGAGTATTCCAGACTAAATTAAGCAGATGCTGGATCTTGGTGGCAAAAAGTCTTTTGTCACACCTGACATGAACAGCAGGGGTAAGCGTAATTCTTCTTTTCTTGGTGTCCACATGCTCTTAGACGCAGGCTTGGGCTATCATTGTTTCTCTGGAGGAGGAGAAATACCTAATGTCTTTGGGACAGCTTGCATCTCAAGGGTATGTTTTACACCTGATCTGCTTCAGAGGCCAAAAGAAAGATAAACTCTTTATGTTCATGCAGGACACAGGGACACACTGGTGCTGCAAATGAGTGAGAATATAGGAGAAAAAAAATATAAATTTTTAATGAAAATTAAAAAAAAAACAACAAAACCAAACAGACAGAGGGAAGTGCCTGCACCTGGGTACTGCAAATGAGGTGTGTACAACACCTTTAATCTTGAAGCTGGCAAGCATGCCAACATGCAAGCAGCTACAACATGGTATAATATGGTGTTACACAAGGCACAAGAGATAAATCTTACAAATGCCCAATGTATGTTCTGGCTACAGGATAGCATATTAAGCTCTCAGGGTACAACAATGCAAAAATTCAGTACAAGCAACTCTATCCCATTCTGAAGCCATGTTTAATAAAAATCACACTGCACCATGATTTAAAAAAAAAAAAAAAAAAAAAGGAAAGGGGAAAAAAAA